TTATTAATTTTAAAAATTACACCAAAATGATAATAATAAAAATAAAGTAATAATAATAATAATAATAAAATAAAAAGAAGTGAGAGAGAGAAGCAACAAGCAAATAAGCTCACAGACTGGCCAAAACAGTGATTAATGCACAGTACACATTACAAAAAATACTAATAATAAGTTAAAAATGTTTGTATAGTTTGTTGTTGGGAGTTAGTCTGCATCTGATAACAACACATGCTCTCTAATATACTGTTTGAGAGGGTCCTGAGCTTTATAAACCCGGTTGGGGAAGTCTCTTAAAGGGACAGTTCACCCAGAAATTAGCAGTTACTAATGAATAAAATATTGCGATGTCATTTTTTTCCCCAACATCGAGAGCTAATTGTCTACCTTCTGTGCTGCGTCCAGCTGCTCTCGGAGGAACTCTGTGCCTTTCTCCTTGATCTCCAGAGAGGAGCTGCGCAGACGGGACATGTTGTACGCCTCTCGTCTGTCTGCGCCGGCCTCATCCGGGGGCTTTTTCTCCCTCCGACCCCCATCATCACCCTCCAATCTGGGGCTCGGCTCCGGCTCCAGGTCGACCAGCCTGAGGACACAAGATTTCATAGGTGAATTTAAAAGAGATTATAACTTTTATCTAGTCCTTTTCTATCTTTGTTTCCTCTTCTCTACTTCTTACGAATGTTTTTGTGTTCAACATGCATTACAATTATCAAGTACATCTATCTATCTGGAAATTTATGGACTAATGGATGGACTAAAATAATAAAATTACAATATTCATATAAATATTAATATACATATTAAAATGATATCTTTCTGCTGGAGATACTGTTATCCAAAAAACAGAAGAAGAAAAAAAAATGTAAATAAAAAATCTCACAAATACCTTAGGAATGGTATAGCAGAAAATGTTGGCGTTTTTAAAACCTTGACTTTTCCAAACAGCAGTAAACCTTGAAAACGGTTATAATCACATGCCTACTATATATCCAATAACACACCCTACAGCTGTAGAAACAGTATTGGGTGATTTGTTTATATTATTATAATTGTTGTGTTACTATAGTAACTCTAGAATTACCACAACAGCTCAATTCAAGTGCTTTATAGTTCAGAAACACTCTAGTGCTGACTGTAAATTCAGTGGTGCCCTCAGATATGTTTCTTAGGGGTGGCCAAGTAAAGCAACACCAAATCTTGTGGTGGCACACACAAAGATAATGAATTGTGTATGTATTGTGAATAATGAGTAATGTTATATTTTTGTTTCTGGTAAATGAAATAAGGAAGTTTTCATTAATTCCATTAATTACTCTTGAAATATTGCAATTTATTCCTTGAAATAATTCAGCAAGTACACTTGCAAATCTAATAAAAATCCATATTTAGCCTTCTTTAAAAACACCTTTCAGGTAAGTTATTTTCCACATACTTTTATTGTACAGAATACAGTATATGCCATGCCTAAAACTAATGGAGATTAATGAATGAATTAATAAAACAAACAAATGAACAAACTGAACAAAAGACATTACTACACACACACACACACACACACACACACACACACACACACACACACACACACACAGACCCTAATACTGTCATTTATCCATGCTTCTTTTTGAGCCACAACAACATATTAATACATATTCTTCTTTTGATGTGCGTTTTTGTAAAATCATTGAGATTTTAGGCCCTTTTAAGTCAACCAGCAAAATAATGGAGTTGCTATATAAACTAGATTCTGTAAAGCTTATTTCAAAATGCATCTATTTATTTATTTATTTATTTATTTATTATTAATATTTTTATAACTTTTTCATTTAAAAAATAATGATTTCCTAATAAAAAGTGTGTAATCTCAGTGAATCAAACACGTCGTTTGCGCTGATCAAACAATAATTTAGTGGCCGCATTTTATTAATTAATTAATTTATTTATTTATTGAAATATTGTGAATTTACGCAAATACATTAAATTAACAATATCAACAACTAAATCATATTGAGGTGGCCACAGGGGCGCCCAAGAGTAAATGACTATGGCATTCTTTTCATGCAAGTTAATTTTATCATTTAGTAACAAGAAAGATTACAAAATCTAATTTTTTGCATACTATAAATAGTGAGTTTTTTAAAATAAAATAATTGAGTATAAACATTCTATGCAAATGTAAACACATTTCTAAGCTAATGTTTTGAGGACACTATTAAAGACCAGATAACTTTGATAGACAGTTTAATGACCTTTAACGATAAGAACCGTTAAGAACCTTATATTTCCTCCTTAAATATAATTAAATAAATCAATATGTCACTAAATTAAACTAACACTAAAAATCAATAAATAACACCAAATACCATTGGTTATTAAATATAGTTATAAACAACTTGGAATATTATATTGAAATATTTGCATAACTAATAACCACAAGACCCTTTAAAAGGCGAATCAGTCAGCCGACCAAACACACAGATTCCCTTGTATAAGTTAACAATTAATAGGAAAATATAACTGCACAGACTCCTGTATATAATCTGAGACAGAGCTTGATTTTATTTCTTATTTAATTTTTATATTTATTTTTTCCGTTAGTTTTTTTTTCTTATTTTTTTTTCCTTTTTTATTTTATCATTTATTTTATTTTTTATTTTATTTCTTCAAAAAAAATCTTATTTTTTTTGTTTATTTATTTTATGCTATTATTTTTTTCTTAGTTTCTGTTTTAAATTTTTTTTTTCACATTTTTTCTTATTCTTTTTTTCTTTTCTTTTATTCTTTTCTACAATTTTTAAATTTTGTTTTATTTTTTCTTATTTTTTTGTTTTATTTATTTGTTTATTTTATATTTATCTATTTCCTGTTTTTTCTTTTTTTTCTTATTTTTATTTTATTTAATTTTTTGTTATTTTACTTATGTTTTATTTCATTTAGTTTATCTTATTTTTTCTTAATTTCTATTTAATTTAATTTTAATTTTTTCATATTTTAAATTAATAATATCAACAACTAAATCATTTTGGGGTGGCCAGAGTTTACACAAGGGTGGCCGTGGCCTGTGTAAATTATTATGGTATTTTTTCATGCAAGTTAATTTTATCATTTAGTAACAAGAAAGATTACAAAATCTATTTTTTAGCATACTTTAAATAGTGTTTTTTCTTTATGAAACAATTGAGTATAAACATTTTTTGCAAAACGTATAAACACATTTTAAGCTAATGTTTAAGGGCATTATTAAAGACCAGATAACTTTGATAGACGGTTTAATGACCTTTAACGATAAGAACAGTTAATAACCTTTAACGATATAAAGAATCTTGCAAGAATACTAAAATGTTTAGAGAACTGGGAAATTTATGACCCTGGTTTTATCTGCTGCTATTTGATATTTCCTCCTTANATATAACAAATAAAATAAATCAATATGTCACTAAATTAAAATTATACAAAAAACAATAAATAACTCTAAATATCATTGGTTATTAAATATAATTATAAACAACTTGGAATATTATATTGAAATATTTGCATAACTTATAACCACAAGACCCTTTAAAAGGCGAATCAGTCAGCCGACCAAACACACAGATTCCCTTGTTTAAGTTAACAATTAATAAGAAAATATAACTGCACAGACTCCTGTATATAATCTGAGACAGAGCTTGATTTTATTTCTTATTTAATTTTTATAATTATTTTTTCTATCAGTTTTTTTCTTTTTTTTTCTTTTTTTATTATTTTATTATTTTTTATTTTATTTCTTTAAAAAAAATTTTTTGTTTGATTTATTTATTTTATGCTATTATTTTTTTTCTTATTATTTTTTTATTTTATTTTATTATTTTCTACAATTTTTTAATTTTGTTTTATTTTTTCTTATTTTTTAATTTCTTTATTTGTTTAATTTATATTTATCTATTTCCTATTTTTTCTTATTTCTTATTTTATTTTTTCTTATTTTTATTTTATTTAATTTTTTGTTATTTTACTAATGTTTTATTTCATTTAGTTTATCTTATTTTTTCTTATTTTCTTTTTAATTTAATTGTATTTTTTTCATATTTTTTTCATATTTTAAATTAATAATATCAACAACTAAATCATATTGGGGTGGCCAGAGTTTACACAAGGGTGGCCGTGGCCTGTGTAAATTATTATGGTATTTTTTCATGCAAGTTAATTTTATCATTTAGTAACAAGAAAGATTACAAAATCTATTTTTTAGCATACTTTAAATAGTGTTTTTTCTTTATGAAACAATTGAGTATAAACATTTTTTGCAAAACGTATAAACACATTTTAAGCTAATGTTTAAGGGCATTATTAAAGACCAGATAACTTTGATAGACGGTTTAATGACCTTTAACGATAAGAACAGTTAATAACCTTTAACGATATAAAGAATCTTGCAAGAATACTAAAATGTTTAGAGAACTGGGAAATTTATGACCCTGGTTTTATCTGCTGCTATTTGATATTTCCTCCTTAAATATAACAAATAAAATAAATCAATATGTCACTAAATTAAAATTATACAAAAAACAATAAATAACTCTAAATATCATTGGTTATTAAATATAATTATAAACAACTTGGAATATTATATTGAAATATTTGCATAACTTATAACCACAAGACCCTTTAAAAGGCGAATCAGTCAGCCGACCAAACACACAGATTCCCTTGTATAAGTTAACAATTAATAAGAAAATATAACTGCAAAGGCTCCTGTATATAATCTGAGACAGAGCTCATAAAGGCTTTTGTGTCGATATATGATCATAATCAGCTCTGTGCTGGTTTATGTAACTCTGCGCTCCGCGGTAGTGGCGGCATTTCCCGTGTGCGCTCCCCGCCCTGACCCTCACCGCGCCCGGCTACAAAGCTCCCCGCGACCCGCGCTCATCCGCTCCGTCCTGCTGACGTCAACAATAAAATAACATGACAATGCAAAACTAGTTACAAACTTACAACGTTTCAGATCCACTTCCCGAAATAAAAGAGTAGCAAAAGTACCGATTAATCCCGCTGAAGTTTCCTGGATCCGACAGAGCTCTGTGGCTGAAATGTGTTCGTGATCAAATAAATCTCCACAATCGCGGATCCGAGTCACAAATCCGTGATGTTTTGTTTTGGACAGTTTTAGCAGCGTTTTTTTCCCTCTGAGATTGAGCAGGAAAAGTGTCCAGATGTCAATCACAGGTCACATGACGCGGCGGAGGCATCCAGGAATCACGTGACAGTGCAGCTATTCTGCTATAGTGTGTGTGCTATGCAGTGTTGGGTAAAGTTACTGTTTCAAATAATATTTCACAATCTTAAGGTACTAAATGTGTTAGTTACTGTTTAAGGAAAGTTATGTAAAAGTAGATTATTTTGCTATTTTTGCATTTTTATTTTAAGATAAGTTTAAGATTGTAATATACTTTTGAAAAGCAGTTTTATCCAACAATGGTTTTGTCAAGTCAAGCCATATCATTCATGACTTTTCATTTTATGCTACTTTTTTGTCTTGTCATGTTATGGTACATCTTGTCATGTAATGTTATGCTGTTTAATGTCATGTCATGTTATTTATTAACTATTTTTAATTTATTTATTTCATTTCTTATTTAGTTTTTTTATTTATTTATTTTCCCTATTTTTTTGTTTGTTTTTATTTATAATTTTTCCCGTTTTAATTTTAATTTCAATTTTTAATTTTTCTTTTATTTCTTTTATGCTATTATTTATTATTATTTTTTCTTATTTTCTATTTTTATTTTATAATTTTTTCTATTTTTTCTTCTCCAATTTTTACATTTTGTTTTATTTTTTCTTATTTTTATTTCATTTATTTGTTTATTTTATATTTATCTATTTCCTATTTTTCTTATTTTTTATTTTGTTTAATTTTTTTGTGTTTTTTTTATGTTTTATTTCATTTAGTTTTTCTCATTTTTTCCTATTTTGTATTTAATTTAATTTTCTTTTTTTTCATATTTTTGTAACTTTTTTCCTTTTTCTTCTTTTTTAAATTGTATTTATTTTCGCTTATTTTAAATGTTTTTAATTATTTATTTATTTATTCTTATTTTAAATTTTTTTCTGTTTGTCTTAAATTATTTTTTATCATGACATTTAATTTTATGCTGTTTTATGTCATTTTATGCAATTTTATGCTGTTTATGTCATGTTATGTCATGCCATGCAATTTTATGCCGTATAATGTCATATTATGTCATGTCATGTGATTTTCTGCTGTTTTATGTCAAGTAATGTTACGTCATGTCATGCAATTTTTTTGCTGTTTCATGTCATGTCATGCAATTTTATGTCATCTCATGTTATGTTACGTCATGCAATTTTATGCTGATTAATGTCATGTCATGTTATGTTACGTCATGTAACATGCTGTTTTATGTCCCATAATGTTACGTCATGTCATGTAATTTTATGCTGTTTAGTGTCATGTTATGTCATGTCATGTTACATCATGTAATGCAGTTTTATGCCTTTATATGTCATGTTATGTCATGCTATGTTGTTATGTCATGTTGTGATGTCACAATTGTATGATGTTTTGTTGTCATGTAATATGTAATATGTTTTATTTTTTGACGACATGTAATTTCGTGCCATTTTGTTATGTCATGTCGTGCAATGTTATTCTATGTTACCTCAGGCTGTCATGTGACTTTATTTCATGTAATGCTATGCCTTATCATGTCATGTTGATGTTACTCTAAACATTGATTGGTTCATTCAGCAGAATCAGTTTAGATAAATTAAAATCATCGATGCTATGAATTTATAAAAATAACAAACTAAATATTTACTGTGGTGATTTTTATTCTGTTAGGTGAAATTTATTCGTACCTTCCGACTGGACATCTCTCCTCCTCTGCTGTATGATGATGATGATGATGATGATGATGATGATGCTCTGCAATCTCTCCTCTACTGAAAAACACCGGTGAGGAGTAAACCGCTATCCCAGAATGCCTTGTGAGCAGCACCTCGTACCCAGGAGCGGTAGGAGGAGAAGAGGAGAGCTGGACCTGATGGAGACCCTCAAACGCATCCATAACAGTAAACCACTGCCTTAAATAGAGCGCCTCCTACTGTCATACACACACAAACACACATACATATGCATGCATTTACAGATACACACAATCACACATACACACACATACATACACATATGTATATACACACACACACACACACACACACACACACACACACTACAATTCAGTCTCAGACACACTGTAGTTTTCTCTGCTGAAGATTCCATTCAGATCTTCAAAGTGTAACTAAAGTGTTGCACCATAAACGAACACTCGCAACAATGAAGTTAGTTAAATATCTAACCCAACACTCTCACCAACGTTAGAAAAATACAACTGGACAAGAGTTCTCAAGCTACAACATTTATTCTTATATTTAGAAAAGATTCAGTGTAATTTTTAAATAATTATTATGTATTACTAGTGATGATCTGTACAAATATAT